GATATCGCAGTCTATCAGTAAACCACAACACAGCCCGACAACCGATCTTGTGACGGAGAACAGTGAAGAAAATGATGAATACGGTTCAATCTTGTAATTAATGGGAGACAACAAAAACAACATTTAGTATCCTGACAACAGTGTAGATCTTGATGTTTTTTTCTCTATCTTTTTCGGAGAACAGTGAGGAAATCATGAACACGCGTTAAATCTTGACACAAAGTGCCACCATGTAGATGAGGATCAACCGTGGAGAGGTCCCAGAAACCGCGTTCAGCTATTAGACCATATTGATAGCCGGGCTATAATACGACCCCCGGCAAGAGCGAGTAGGGCTTTAAATAACGAACAATTGCATCCCACAAGGGGAAGACTAGCGATAAGATGTTTTTCTCCAGTGGCTAGACGATATAGAAAGTTAGGTGAAACGATTTTGAGCTATGAAAATATGAGGTTGGCTTGCACTATATGTGCGTAACCATGTCGGTACTCAGTCGTTGATCTGGTCTATATTGTGTATACTTCTCAAGGCATTTCTTGCAGCCATATTAAATTAAATCCTCCCAGGAGCCAGAACTAATGTTTAAACAAATCCGCGTAAAAATGTCAAGCCCATCTTAAAACTATATCCAGTTTCGTCCTTTTCAGGACGAAATTTTTTGTCATTTGAAGCCCTACTCTGGCTTTTGCCATGGGCCGCAATATAGGCAGGCCATAAATATGGCCAAATGTCTGAACGCGGTTTCTGGGACCTCACCACGGCGATCCTCATCCGCATGGTGGCACTTTGTGTCATCGGGTGTTTATCGCTTGTGTGATGTCCTGGTGGGGTAGAAAGTCAGTCAGTCAGTCAAGCCCATCTTCTTCTTCTTCATCTTCTTTTTCTTTAATCTTTCAGTCAGGAAACATTCTATCAGATGGTCAGTCTCTTTGATAAAAGCTGCACTGCAGTCCAAATCCTTCCGTATACGCCTTACAGCCTCGTTTAGACCGAGGTTGGTGTTAGCAGCAAACAGTCTACAATATTTGAGCAAATACTCAGAATTTTTCAGTTGCTGACAAATCGGCACTTTCGGTGATGCAGTCAGCAGCTCACAGGCAGCCTTTACTTCCTAGGACTTTACCTTTTCCCCATTACAGTCTGTGTTGATATGAGAGTCATTTTTGAAAAAAGTCTGGCTGTGACAAAATCTGAACTCACGACCTTCCAATCTGCAGGCCAGCATCTTGTACAGTGTCTCTACATCTTGCACAGTGTCTCTACATCTTGCACGGTGTCTCTACATCTTGTACAGTGTCTCTACATCTTGTACAGTGTCTCTACATCTTGTACAGTGTCTCTACATCTTGTACAGTGTCTCTACATCTTGTACAGTGTCTCTACATCTCGCACAGTGTCTCTACATCTCGCTGTGTCTCTACATCTTGCACAGTGTCTCTACATCTTGTACAGTGTCTCTACATCTTGCACGGTGTCTCTACATCTCGCACAGTGTCTCTACATCTTGGAGAGTGTCTCTACATCTCGCCCAGTGTCTCTACATTTCGCACAGTGTCTCTACATCTTGCACAGTGTCTCCAAATCTTGCACAGTGTCTCTACATCTTGCACAGTGTCTCTACATCTCGCACAGTGTCTCTTCATCTCGCACAGTGTTTCTACTTCTTGCACAGTATCTCTACATCTCGCAGTGTCTCTACATCTCGCAGTGTCTCTACATCTTGCACAGTGTCTCTACATCTTGCACAGTGTCTCTACATCTCGCACAGAGTCTCTACATCTCGCACAGAGTCTCTACATCTTGCACTGTGTCTCTACATCTCGCACAGTGTCTCTACATCTTGCACAGTGTCTCTACATCTTTCTTCATCTTGCACAGTGTTTCTACATCTTGCACACTGTTTCTAAATCTTGCACGGTGTTTCTACATCTTGCGCAGTGTTTCTACATCTTGCACAGTGTTTCTACATATTACACGGTGTTTCTACATCTTGCGCAGTGTTTCTACATCTTGCACAGTGTTTCTATATCTTGCACAGTGTTTCTACATCTTACACAGTGTCTCTAAAATCGCCCTTTTTTCAGTGAAACAAAAAATTATCTAGCGTCTCCCTCTCCACCGCCCTGGAAAATTTGTCATCATCATTATGTGCCACGACGAAAAGCGTAGGCTGTCATAATTCGCTATATAACACGATCAACAGTATCACATTCAGCCAATGCGGGACGCAGTTTTTTCACTAATTTAACATCACGGTTGAACTGGGTTGCTGGGACGTGTGCCCGGGTGATTCTTATCCGAATGGTAACATTTTGTGTCACCGGGTGTTGGTCGTTACCTGTATGGTCCTGGTGTGGTTGAACGACACATACAATCACATTCAGGTGTCAGCTCGTTGTCCCGCCCCATACAAGTGGTCAAACCATCAGTGTAGATACTTTGATCAACCTAACCACGAGTGACCACCGGAAATATGACAGAGAGTAAACACGAACAAAGACCTGCGTACACGGGCGGTCAGATGGCACCCAGCGCCGTGACTTGTAATACATACTGACGTTGTAGCCTTCATTGATTCGTCACGGGGACCGTTTAATGAGGGACTATACGTACTGACTGCAACAGTAGTGGGGCCATAACTAACTGCTCTTGATTCCTCGCATTTCTTCTAGCACTGTAGGTGATACACTTCTGGCTTGTTAAGACCCTATTAATGTGTAGTCATTTTCTTTTTAAAATTTCCTGTAAAGGTTCTCACATGTTCTCACTCTAGCCCGTTACCTAATATATAGAGCTCTTTATTGTTACCTTGATATTTTGTCGGTGACTTAGTACTTATGAAGGCAGTTTCACAATTCCAACATTCCAGGTTTTGTTTAGCTGCAGATGACGTTGGCAGCTAACTGCTCTATTGAATTCGACAATGTTATGAGCGGTGGCAGGTTTAGAAAGCAATGGCAAAATACCTGTCCAGAAACATCAGTAGGAATGATTAGCGACGCCCAGAAAAAATACCCCTTAAATATTCTGGTTTATATTCTAAGCAACTTTTCAGGAATGCTTTTATACAACAGCGAGTGCTGGAAAATGGCTGCGGGAATGACATTTATGCTAACGACTTTTCGGACTAAATGTTAAAGAAGAATCCCCAAGAATATGTTGGACAAATAAGATCACCAACGAAGTCCTCGGAAAGGGAGAAAATGTTAAACGCTGGCAAAAGTTTTCGAAGAAAGAAGATGTTGATGGTTTGGACAAGTTTGTATAATGCCTAGTCACATTTTCGCGGACAGCTCACTGATAGAACATGGTTGATGTAAGAACACATGGAGAAAGGAAAATGAAGAAATGTAAACTGATATTGTATACCATAAGAACTTTATGCTGATCACGTCGTTTTGATGGTGACAAGTCAGAGAGAACTACAGGAATTGAAAGATACGGTGGTGGTAGAAAGTTATAAAATTGGCCTCAGTTTGAATAACGGGAAGGCAGAAGCAATGATGATTTCCAGGAAAATAAAAGTGTCTAAGTAAATAATAAAAGACGAAAGCGTTTTTTTTTTTTTTTTTTCATGACAAGTACAGACATTAAAATGTCTAGGCACATGGATAACATCATTGGAAAGATGTGTCACGGAGATAAATAACAGAATAGGACAGGCCAAAACTGCAGTTTATAAACTGAAGAATTGTTTGTGCAGTAAAAGGAATTCCATAGAAATTTAACTAAAAAGCTCAACAAAATGGGGAAGCAGTCACCCCCATATTTTCAGCATTTGTGCAAAAAATCCACGTCGTTGGGGGTTATGAAAAGAATTATCGCATGCTATATAGAGCCAGTTTAAGCATACAGCTGTGAAGCCTGGACAACTAATACACAAGCCGAACAAGATCTTGAGGCCTCGGAGATGTGGTTTTACAGAAAAATCCTTAGTAGAATTCCTTGGACAGTTAGGAAGAGCAACCCTGATGTTTTGGAAGAGGCGAGTGCTCGAAGACAACTTATCACAAACATCAGAAAGAGACAGTCATCATTTGTTGGTCATGTTATGAGAAGAGGGGAAAGGGAACATGTTGTGACCACTGGAAAGATCTGTGGAAAGAGACCCAGAGGAAGACAACGGAAGAAGATTCTTGACAGTCTTATGTCATAGCATGGAGGAGAGACTACACACAAACTGATGCACACAGTTGCGGATCACAGATTATGGAGAGGCTTGATCACCTACGCCAGTCGGCAAGGCACTTGATGATGATGATGATACTATGGGCATTGAAAAAAGGACCGGTAGTTATCTCAATCATTTGAGAAAGTGACATAGGTTTGGGTTTAGACGGCGGATCAACATCAAGGGACAAGGGTTATAACCCATAAAAAGGGACATGTAGAGACATTATGTGTGTGCGTGTGTGTGTGTGCCTGTGTGTATGTTTATGTATCCGTGTGTGTGTGTATGTTTATGTTTATGTATCCGTGTGTGTGTGTATGTTTATGTTTATGTATCCGTGTGTGTGTGTATGTTTATGTTTATGTTTCCGTGTGTGTGTGTGTGTGTGTTTGTATGTTGTTTTTACTACCATTGTCAAGACAGTTGTAGATTTCATTAGTGTATACAATGTTATGTTCCTGGAACTGTATTCAACACACAATCACACATACATTGTTGCTTTGTCAGTTCATAATGTATATCAACCCGTACATAGTATATTCTAGCATTAAATACAAGGGCGAATTATCTCAGTCATTATTTACGGCCTCTAGCAAAGTCCTCGCCTGTGAACAAAATTAGCACAACAATGTCCCAGGCTCATGGACACACACGCGCAGATAATTGGCACCTCATTCGTGTCTCTCCCTGACCACTTCTGATGACGTTAGTTACTGCCTGCAATGCTGGCCATCACGTGGTCTTGTGTATGTATATAAGAAAATGTCTATGATCTGGCCCTAACGTCAAAAAAAATTTTTTTATATTCGGTCAAGAAACGCCGTTCTCATGGATTTATCTGGCAAAGTGGTTTTTATTACAGGGGCCGCTCAAGGGCTGGGGAAGGCGTATGCAGAATCATTGCTCCAGCTCGGAGCTAAAGTGAGTTTTATAACTTTTTTTTAAAAAGTTTTCTCAAATTATGAGCGGGCTAAACAAATGTTTTCCTACAAACTTCTACACGGCTTCATCAATCTTGGATTTGTCTACAAACTGTCTATTGTGTGGCAGTGTGTATGTGAGGTGTGTGTGTGTGTTTGCGTCTCTCTCTCTCTCTCTGTCTCTATGTGTTTGTGTGTGTGTGTGTGTGTGTGTGTGTGTGTGTGTGTGTGTGTGTGTGTGTAAATATATATAATACATGTATGTGATATGATTGCCCACATAAGAAAGAGACAATCTACATTTTTATAAACGGTCACAAATAACAGAAACTGACGATCAAACAAATGATGCATAATTGAAGTTTCACTTTATATATATATATAGCTTTTTTTTTAGAAAAATGGGGTGTAAATGATCGTCACAAAGCGTCTATATCAGCAGCGTGCAAGTCGTGTAGGCCTTTTTTTTTTTTCTGGCTCTACCCATGTTCTCTACATCTTTTTAACTTCACACTCCAGCTCCCCTTTATTTCTATATCCCTGTGGGTTCTAGTGCAAAGACATTCTCGTTTATTGTTTTCATGTTTTCTGGACGTGTGTCCTATCCAACGCCAGTCTTTTCTTCACCTCTTGGTCCTTTGGAACTTGCTTAGTCCTCACCCAAAGCTCGACATGAGTGATTCTATCTTCATGTTTTCCATAGTTTTAAATGTTTAAGTTGTCTAGTTTATTTCCAGTCATCTATTTTTATTATTGCCAACGAAAACATGTTTTAATTAATTTCGCCTGCCAGTAAACTGAGCGCTGTTGCCTTATTCTTGTCGTCTGCAGGTTGCCCTTGGAGATGTGAATGCTGCTCTCGGTGCAGCCACCAGCGAGGAACTTCAGCGACGTTTCGGTGAAGAGAGCGTAATATTTTATGCGTTTGATGTCACCGATCATCAACAGTTTCGAGGTAAATGTGTGCTTTCATATATTCAAGTTTGATACGACCATTTAGTAATTCTACTAAACAATAAATTCGTTGTGTAGATTCATACCAGTATATTCAAAAGACAGCTTGTATTATTCGAAACCATTAGTGTTGATAATAGTTGTTGCTATTTTTTTTAAGTAGTAGCAGCAACAGCAGTGGTAATAGTCTTGGTGGTGATGATATCAACCGTGACTGTCAAAATAGTAGTAGTAGTGGTGGTGTTAGTAGCAGTAGCAGCAGCAGCATTAGTAGTAGCAGCAGCAGTAGTAGTAATAGTAGTAGTAGTAGTAGTAGTAGTAGTAGTAGTAGTATTAGTAGTAGTAGTAGTAGTAGTAGTAGTAGTAGTAGTAGTAGTAGTAGTAGTTGTTGTTGTTGTTGTTGTTGTTGTTGTTGTTGTTGTTGTAGTGGTGGCAGTAGTAGTAGTAGAAGTAGCGGTGGAAGTGGTAATAGTGGTAATAGTGATAATGCAGTAAAGGCTGTAGTGGTAGTAATAATAGTAGTTGTGGTGGTGGTAGTAGTAGAATCAGCAACAGCAGCATCACTAGTCGTAGTGGTGGTAGTGATGGTTAAGATGATGGTGATTTTGGTAGTAGTAGTAGTAGAATCAGCAACAGCAGCACTAGTAGTAGCAGTGGTGATGGTGATGGTTGTGGGGATGGTGGTGGAAGTAGTAGTATCAGCAATAGCAGCAGCACTAGTAGTAGCAGTGGTGATTGCGATGGTGGTGGGGGTGGTGGTAGTAGTAGTATTAGTGTCACAAAAATTTATTAATATTAGATGTGACTGGTCTTTTTTTTAAGAGAGGAATAACCTTAAAGTGATCCCTCCTTCTCTCATGAATGCTTAAACTGCAGATGTGACTCAATTATAGGTTATCTAAGGGATTAGTCCCAGGATAATATTAAATAAGCAGACAGCAAGTCCTGTTGTGTGAACTAGATGGTAGGTCAGACCCACTGCAGTAGAAAAAGTGGACACCTGGGAAATATCTAACTAAAAACCGACCTACAATTATAAAAGCCCCCAACTGTGTTTCACAGTAAATATGAGAAATGATTCTGTATAAACCTCATACACACTTATGTGTAAAATGAAAAGAGTGCAGGTTGCATTTCAACGTTTATTGAACAACGTTAATCTTACATGTTATCAAACCATATTAAAGCAACCAATCTGATATAGTGCCAGTGCACTATAGATAACAATCCTAGGGAACAAATTAATGGCATCCGTCAGTCCCGGGGGACTATGGAGATGTGCCGCTGGCTTTGGGAACAGCATCTGCTGTGACTGTAAAGTCCGATGCGGGAGTGGCAGTCTTTGCCACACAGGATACACACAAAAGCAGATACTCCCTCGTTGTGAGGCAGTTTTACTCTCCGGTGTCTCCTCTCCACAGCTCGTTGTGTTCGGTTTCTTTCAAAATGTGACAGTCCGTCTTTCACTTTCTGTCTCCATAGTAGTCGATCTGCAGCCGATTTTTCCCATATCTCTGTGCCTATGTTGGTATCTATTAGGTCACGTTTGCATACATCTTTATAGCGCCGCTTTGGCCTTCCTGTAGGTCTATTCCCAGTTACCAATTCACCATATTGGCGATTTTTTGGAATACGACCATCCTCCATGCTGGAGACATGTCCCAGCCAGCGCCTCTCCAGGGCACAGGCCAAGGCGTTTTGATTTGGAGTACAGACTGTTGCCCAGGCAGCAAGTACTCCCTCTCTACGTCGCCGGTTATACCAAGGGAAAGGCAAAAACCAGTACAACTTGGCACCGAGGGAACAAAGCATAACAGTTATTCCAGAGCAGGATACATTGTAATGAATCTTCTTGTGCAGCCGATTAACTATCATATGGATACTTCAGCATGTTCAGTATTCTGCTCCTGGCTCATATTGGAAATTGTACAGCACCAGCAGAAATAGTCAGATATACTGGTATTGAAGTCATCACCCAATGGGGTCAAGCTATTTTCTTCTCTTGATTTACACAGAGTGACTTGTCCATCACACTGCCCAGTCAGCTCCTGGTCAGGTCCGGGCTAGCATCGATACAGCCAGCAATTGGGGACCATCTTCATGTCTTATAACAGGCTACTATGTTGACAATGCAGGCGACTTTCCTTTCATTGCAATCTCCAATTAGTATCAAGATCTGGTCCCTTCTCATTTTCCAAATCTCTCCTTCCCTAGATTTTACCTTCACCCCACACCCCCCCCCCCCCCCCCCCCCCCCCTCCTTCCCCTATTTTCTCCTGCCTATTTTTAGATTCTCGGCAATATTCTTCTACAGTTTACATCTTTATTTCAGTTTGACTTTGTTGTGATGTCCTGGTACGGACTAAATAAGATTCACGCTATTTCTTATTGTATTTATAGTCTTTCTAAACGGATCGTGACTTCGATAAACCAAGGCCCTCTATAATTTATGTTAACCTACTAGAATAAATGCGGGATATAAAACTAAAACCCACCACTGATTCAGACTGTTCAGAAACTACTCGCGGACAGAAAATAGAGAGTATATAGACCTCGTTCTATCAATGATAGATATTATTACTTTTATCGATGGCCACGTCATCCCAAAAAAGGGAACGCATCTTATGACATTGGAAATATAATAGTAACTGGAAGAAAACATACCTACGGTTCAAAAGATCTTCAGACGGATTAGAGGCAGCATATTGTAAACTGTGTCAGTGCACTGTTGCACCAAGAATTAGTAGCATATCAAATCATGAAAAATCAGAAAAACACAGGATGAAAACTCTGTCAAAAAGCCAGTCACAGCTTATTACAACAATGACTCCTATCCTAGGCAAAGTAATGATAAAGTTAAAGGCAGCAGAGTTACAACTTGCTGTAGGCATGACCTGCCATTGTTCAATACGCACAATTGATCATCTAAGTAAAATCATAAGAGCGCGTGGTCAAGGAGTACACTGAAGCACATACAGTTGCATATAACTAAATGTTCATGCCTAGTACAAAAGAATATTATAAAGCTTAACAAAATGGGGAAGCAGAAAAACGTGCACAAATAACGTAACGTTTCGGCTGGGCAGCCTTTGTCAAACTACACAAAAATGCTAAATAGCACGGACTATAGGAAGAAGTATTTATCAACTAGCGTTTCTAGGACATCCGCTAACTTTTTATATATTTAAGACATTAAGAGGTGTAGCAGCTGCCCAAGCTGCTACAACCTCCCCTCGATAAATTGTTTGCAAACCGGTTTGCACAGTTTAGCAGGTTATTTCCCTTAGTAATAATGCAAGGTGACCTTATTGGTAATTTTCGGAACAAAAAATATGCCATCATTATAGATGAGTTGCAAAGATTTCATCCCATCTGAGAAAATGCTTAAAGATTTTAAATCCGAAAAGGTTTACACTGTGTCTACCACTTGTTCCAGTGAGGATGACAGTGAAGAATTCTATCTAGAGATTTGCCCGGCTCTCTGGCGTAATTGGCTAAACCGGATTGCGCGGAGACCGGGTGACGAACTCCTTGTGGTCCGGGTTCAATCCCGGGGGTAGGCAGGAAAGTCACATTTTCTCCCAGATTTACGGTATTTACAATGGAATCAAAGCCGCGAGGTTGCGATATCCATAATACCGAGCCTAAGGGTTAACAACTCATGGCTTCTGGATACTAAAACAAACAAACAATGTAGAGATTTTGATGTGAAGCGAGTACAATGTAACACTTTATCTGGCATTTTCTGGCATACCTTGGGCAATCGTTTGGCATAAAATGAGGTTTTTTATCTGGCAACCCTGGGTGTAGCTCATTGGAGGGTTCAATCTTTTAGGTGCGTCTGTTGGCAACCCAGTTTTTATGCCGCTAAATTGTAAGATATTTCGGATTTCACTTAGAATTTCCCCTCCCCTATTAAGTCGGTCCACTTTCTTGCGGCAATCTAGAGGGACATTCAAATTTGCTCTGTGACAATTAGCAGCAGCACTAGTAGTAGCAGTAGTGATGGTGATGGTAGTAGTAGTAGTAGTAGTATCAGCAACAGTAGCAGCACTAGTAGTGATGGTGTTTGTAGAAGTAGTACCAAACACGGCAAACTGTGGATCGACATAACATATAATTGGTCAATGACTTGTATTGTTTGTTTCACGCAGATGCCTTTAATGCGGCCGTGTCGCACTTTGGACACATCGATGTGTTGGTGAATAATGCAGGGATCATGGACGAGTCCAAGTGGGAGCTCATGATACAAATAAACTACGTAAGAATGTACCCATTCGCTAGTCGTCTGCAGACATCAGTACATATTCTGGCTACCTTCAAATGTCTCTGAATATTATATAACTCTTCAGCTGTGTATGTAAATTCTATCTTCATATGTCACGACTTTTAATGGGGGGAAAAGCCACTATAAAGAAATATAATGACCACAGAACAGGGGGAAGACAGCGAAAAACAAGGAACCGAAGCATGAAAATCAAAATTACAGAGATCAAGATCAACTTATACAGCGATTAACTAAGAACTTAAAGAAGGTTTGTGTGTGTATGTGTGTGGAGTGTGTGTTTGGGGTGTGTGTGGGTGTGGGTGTGTGTGTGTGTTGTGTGTGTGGTGTGTGTGTGGTGTATGTGTGTTTTGTGTGTGGGTGTGTGGGTGTGTTTGTGGGTGGATGTGTGGGTGGGTGTAGGTGGGTGATGTGTTGTGTGTGCGTGTTTTGTGTGTGTGTGTGTGTGTGTAAAACTGTATGTGTAACAAACGAATAAACATAGTCATAGACTGAGAGACAGGCTATCAGATGTGATGACAGAAAGGAACGATAGACTGATGAATAAACATAACTAGATGATTCAACAGACTGACAGACAAACAGACACTTGTTGCAGATACACAGACAACACACTACCGTAACTGTTATGGTTTTAGATTAAGATAATATTCTGTGTTTGTTTCAGACCTCGTTAGTATTCGGTACAAGACTGGCGATTGAGCACATGCGGAAAGACACAGGAGGACTTGGAGGTCGGATCATCAACATCAGTTCTATGGCAGGTTAGTGCTTAAACACGCAAGAAACCATTGACATTCTGAGAACGCGTCATGTCAAAAGATCAGTGATAAGATATGCTTAGATGACAAATTTCTTCCTCTTTCTCTTCTTCTTCTTATTCTTCTTTTTCTTCTTCTTCTTTTTCTTCTTCTTCTTCTTCTTCTTCTTCTTCTTCTTCTTCTTCTTCTTCTTCTTCTTCTTCTTCTTCTTCTTCTTCTTCTTCTTCTTCTTCTTCTTCTTCTTCTTCTTCTTCTTCTTCTTCTTCTTTTTTTTTTTCTTCCCTCCTCCTCTTCCTCCTCCTCCTTCTTTTTCTTCTTTCTCTTCTTCTCCTCCTCTTCCTCCTCCTCCTCTTCCTCCTCCTCTTCCTTCTTCTTCTTCTTCTTCTTCTTCTTCTTCTTCTTCTTCTTCTTCTTCTTCTTCTTCTTCTTCTTCTTCTTCTTCTTCTTCTTCTTCTTCTTCTATTTCTTCTTCTTCTTCTTCTTCTTCTTCTTATTATTATTATTATTATTATTATTATTATTATTCCTCTTCTTCTTCTTCATCTTTTTCTTCTTCTAATTCTTCGTCTTCTTCTCAAGAGACCCACTGCCTCCACTACAATGCAATTATTAAGGGGCGTTTCCGTAAAAATCGGAGTGCATCTGCCTGTAAGGTGATAAACCAACAGTCTGCTTACAAATAAGCCAGATCTGTCAAACGCAGGTGCATGTTAAGTTCTGGAACACGACCAAAGTAAAAAGGGTGACGATCAACTAGAAAAGAAGAAGACGGAAGAAAGACGAAAGAAGAAGAATGGAAGAAGAAGAAGAAGAAAAAGAAGAAAGAAGAAAGAAGAAGAAGAAAGAAGAAGAAGAAGAAGAAGAAGAAGAGAAGAAGAAAGAAGAAGAAGAAGAAGAAGAGAGAAGAAGAAAGAAGAGAGGAAGAAGAAGAAGAAGAAGAAAAGAAGAAGAAGAAGAGAGGAAAGAAGAAGAAGAAGAAAGAAGAAGAAGAAGAGAAGAAAGAAGAGAAGAAAGAAGAAGAAGAAGAAGGAGAAGAAAGAAAGAAGAAGAAGAAGAGAGAAGAAGAAGAGAAGAAGAAGAAGAGGAAGAGAAGAAGAAGAAGAAGGAAGAAGGAAGAAGAAGAAGAGAGAAGAAGAAGGAAGAAGAAAGAGAAGAAAAGAAGAAGAAAGAAAGAAGAAGAGAAAGAAGAAAGAAAAGAAGAAGAAAAGAAAGAAAAGAAGAAAGAAGAAGAAGAAGAAGAGAAAAGAAGAAGAAGAAGAGAGGAAGAAAGAAGAAAAGAAGAGAGAAGAAGAAGAAGAAAGAAGAGAAAGAAAGAAGAAGAAGAAGAAGAAGGAAGAAGAAGAAAGAGAGAAAGAAGAAGAGAGAAGAAAAGAAGAAAGAAGAAGAAAAGAAGAAGAAGAAGAAGAAGAAGAAGAAAAGAAGGAAGAGAAGAAGAAGAAAAGAAAAAAGAAGAAGAAGAAGAAGAAGAAGAGAGAAGAAGAAGAAGAAGAAGAAGAAGAAGAGAAGAAGAAGAAAGAAAGAAGAAGAAGGAAGAAGAAGAAGAAGAAGAAAGAGAAGAAGAAAGAGAAGAAGAAAGAAGAAAGAGAAGAAGGAAGAAAGGAAGAAGAAGAAAGGAGAGAAAGAAGAAAAAGAAGAAGAAGAAGAGAAAGAGAGAAGAAGAAAGAAGAAGAAGAAGAAGAAGAAGAAGAAGAAGAAGAAGAAGAAGAAAGAAGAAGAAGAAGAAAGAAGAAGAAGAAAGAGAAGGAAGAGAAGAAAAGAAGAAGAAGAAGAAGAAAGAGAAGAAAGAAGAAGAAAGAAAGAAGAAAAGAAGAAGAGAAAGAAGAAGAAAGAAGAGAAAGAAAGAAGAAGAAGAAGAGAAGAGAAGAAGAAAGAAGAAGAAGAAGAAGAAAGAAGAAGAAGAAGAGGAAGAAGAAGAAGAAAAAGAAGAAGAAGAAGAAGAAGAAGAAGAAAAGAGAAGAAGAAGAAGAAGAAGAAGAAGAGAGAAGAAGAAAAGAAGAGAAGAAGAAGAAGAAGAGAAGAAGAAGAAGAGAAAGAAAGAAGAAGAAGAAAAAAGAAGAAGAAGAAGAAGAAGAAAGAAAAAGAAGAAAAGAAGAAAAGAAGAGAAGAAAGAAGAAGAGAAGAGAAAAGAAGAAGAAAAAAAAAAGAGAAGAAGAAGAAGAAAGAAGAAGAAAGAAGAGGAAGAAAGAAGAAGAAGAGAAGAAGAAAGAAAGAAGAAGAAGAAAAGAAGAAGAAGAAGAAGAAAGAAGAAGAAGAAGAAGAAGAAGAAGAGAAGAAGAAGAAGAAGAAAGAAGAAAGAAGAGAAGAAGAAGAAGAAGAAGAAGAAGAAGAAGAAGAAGAAGAAGAGAGAAAGAAGAGAGAAGAAGAAGAAGAGAAGAAAGAAGAGAGGGAAAGAGAAGAAGAAGAAGAAAGAGAGAAGAAGAAGAAGAAGAAAGAAAGAAGAAGAAGAAGAAGAAAGAAGAAGAAGAAAAGAGAAAGAAGAAGAAGAGAAGAAGAAGAAGAAGAAGAAGAGAGGAAGAAGAAGAAGAAGAAGAAGAGAGAAGAGAAGAAGAAAGAAGAAGAAAGAAGAAGAAGAAGAAGAAGAAGAAGAAGAAGAAGAGAAGAAGGAAAAGAAGAAAGAAGAAGAAGAAGAAGAAGAAGAAGAAGAGAGAAGAGAGAGGAGAAAAGAAGAAGAAGAAGAAGAAGAAGAAGAGAAGAAGAAGAAGAAAGAAGAAGAAGAAGAGAAGAAGAAAGAAGAAGAAAGAAGAAGAAGAAGAAGAAGAAGAAGAAGAAGAAGAAGAAGAAGAAGAAGAAGAAGAAGAAGAAGAAGAAAGAAGAAGAAGAAGAAGAAGAAGAAGAAGAAGAAGAAGAAGAAGAAGAAGAAGAAGAAGAAGAAGAAGAAAGAAGAAGAAGAAGAAAAGAAGAAGAAGAAGAAGAAGAAGAAGAAGAAGAAGAAGAAGAAGAAGAAGAAGAGAAGAAGAAGAAGAGAAGAAGAAGAAGAAGAAGAAGAGAAGAAGAAAGAAGAAGAAGAAGAAGAGAAGAAGAAGAAGAAGAAGAAGAAGAAGAAGAAGAAAGAAGAAGAAGAAGAAGAAGAAGAAGAAAGAAGAAGAAGAAGAAGAAGAAGAAGAAGAAGAAGAAGAAGAAGAAGAAGAAGAAGAAGAAGAAGAGAAGAGAAGAAGAAGAAGAAGAAGAAGAAGAAGAAGAAGAAGAAGAAGAAGAAGAGAAGAAGAAGAAGAAGAAAGAAGAAGAAGAAAGAAGAAGAAGAAGAAGAAGAAGAAGAAAGAAGAAGAAGAAGAAGAAGAAGAAGAAGAAGAAGAAGAAGAAGAAGAAGAAGAAAGAAGAAGAAGAAGAAGAGAAAAGAAGAAGAAGAAGAAGAAGAAAGAAGAAGAAGAAGAAGAAGAAGAAGAAGAAGAAGAAGAAGAAAGAGAGAAGAAGAAGAAA